GCATTATAAGGTTACAATTTACAGAGCATGATGGTGATAAGAGAAAATGTTCCATCCCTGTGGTAAAATCCCCAGAAAAAGAACTTGAAGAGAGTTTATTGTGGCTCGAGGTTTCAGCTCAGTCGCTTGGCTCTGCTGTTACAGGCCAGGGGTAAGAAGGAGCATCATTTATCCCAGCAGGGACTGAGGTGAAGCAGGGCTATCAGTGGCAGCCAGGAAGCAAGGAGAAAGAGCCAGGGGCTAGGGGCAAAATACATCTTTCTCAAGGAAATTCACAGACACTGACTTCCTCCCGTTAGACCCCACCTCCTACAAGCATCAACAGATGAGACTAAGCTTTTACCACATGGCCTTCGGAACACACTTAAGAGTCAAACCATGTAAAAGACTAAACAAAATTTGTCAATTAATATAATGACACATACTTATGCATTTATGGTAATAAGTGGGGATCAAAGGGGTACTCAGGAACTGGGGCAGCAGTAGATGGAGAACGGGTTATCTTTCTGGTTATGGATCTAGGTCAAGCAGACTACTGAGGGAAAATAATTTAATATTCACAAAAATCAATTCCAAGTGAACTGTAGATCTAAATACAAAATAATAAATTTGCAGAAAAGAACCAAGAAACAATTCTATAACCTAAGACTTTTTAAATTAAAGCAAAGCAAAAAAAAAAAAAAAAAAAAGAAAGAAAGCAAAAAGAAACAAACATTTGTGGTGGTTTAAAAAGGCATGGCCCCCACAGTCTCACATGACAAGGAGGTGGAGTCCTGTTGGAGAAGGTGTGTCACTGGTGTGGGCTCTGAGGTTTCAAAAGCCAGTCATTCCCTCTCTGTCTTGTGCTTGGGATCAAGATGTGCACACTCAGCTACCACTCTAACTAACACCTAACACCATGCCTGCTGCCCTGCTCCTCACCATGACAGTTATAACCCTCGGGAACAGTAAACCCCCATATAAACATTTCTTGTATAAATTGCCTTGGTCATGGTGTCACATCAGAGCAAATACGAAAGTAAGACAACATTTAAAACAAAAAATACCAACAAACTGGACTAACATATAATTAAGAACTTACATTCATTAAAAAAAGAACATTAAGAAAATAAAAACACAAATAGAAAACATTTCCAAGATCTATAATTGTCAAAGACAGTGTATTTAGAATAAAGAATTTCTAATCAGTCGAGAAACAGAAAAAATGGTTCAGTATACAAAAAAAAGTTCTGAAAAGTTTAACTAACTGAAAAGGAGCTCAGTAGACATCAGGAAAGTATAAATTAAAATTAGTATAAATTAAAATTCAAGACTGGTGAAAAGAAGGGCTGGCTGGGGAAAAAGCTCAGTTGGTAAAGTGCTTGCTTTTCGGGCTCCAGTCCTGAGTTCAATTCACAGAGTCCACATAAGAAAAGTAGGCCTTGGGGAAACACCCTTGCAATTTCAGTGTTGGGGAGCTGGAAACAGAGAGCCCCGGGGCTTCCTAACCAATCAGCCTGGGCTATTTGGCAAGGTCTTGTCCTGTCAGAGAATCTGTCTCAAAAAAGAAAGAAAGAAGGAAAGAGAAGAGTGGGGGAGGAAAAGTGTGAAAGAAAGAAGGAAAGAAAGAAAGTTCAAAGCCTGAGGAATGACATCAGATGTCCTCTGACCTCCACAAAGACACATGTTTGCAACCACACAGAGACTGGTAAATATGTGGACCAAACTGAATTTCCATACATTGCTGATGGGAGTTTAAAATCACTAAACTTCAAAATTAAATACAAACACAATTCTTGGCAATATAACCAACTAAAATGTGTGTGACTGAGCACAAGAACCATGACAAAAAAAAAAAAAACAAGCAAACAAAGAACCAACCAACCAAAAAAGCAACAGTACTATTCCTAGTGACCCAACTAACTTAAACTATCTCAGACATCTATCAAAATAATAGATATATGATTCATTAAAAACTGCCAAGTGTGTATGTAATTAAAATGAACTAATTCTATCTATATGTAATGATACAGATAAATTAAAAAAATATGAATGAGGCACAGAAGAATATATGGTTCATGATCTTTTAAAAACTAAAACACAGAAAAAACTAAGTTAAGGAATAAAATTAAAGACAGTGGCTATCTTTCACTATCTTTGAGGAAGAGGGAGGGATAATTTTTGGGGGGGTTCTAGCCATTCCCATTTCTAGACCTGAATTGTATTACAAGAATTTTTCAGTTTGCAATGATGCACTTAGCTTACTTGTTTTCTTTTGTGTATATGTTATAAACAAATGCACATAAATATGCAAATGCACTAACCAGTTGCATTTGTAATTTTTGGAGATATTGGTGGCATCATGTAATACTCAAGTTTATTAACGTATCATTTTCTTTTACTAAAAGTCAAATCTATCAAAGAAATCCTCCTGTACCCTGAAGACATAGAGATATAATCTTAAGGATTTTTTTAAAAAATTAAAGATTGTATTTTGTTTGAGGCCAATCTGGGCTACACAGAAAATCTATGGCTAGATCTTCCCAAAACAAAAAAACCAAAACCAAATGGAACGAGTGAGAAGACTGACAGAAGTCAATGCAGAGAACGACATCCACCTGTATTTCAGCACACAGTTTGAGTGGGTGTGGCTAGGACCACTCACACCTTTAACTAGAACATGAGGTTTTCATCTCTTCATACCAACCTTACAATTCCACTCTCCCTTTTCCTGAATACACAGATTTCAAGGCTTTGCTGTTTGTTCAAGAACTTCTTCCACTATGCTTGTCTTTTACTGAACTACCATTCAGTTTTCAATTAAAATAAATAAATTGTCTTACTTAGGGCTTGCTAGTATTTGGAACTCAGTTTTTAATCTAAGAATTATGGTTGCTTTATTCTTCTAACCCTCCACCAAGCAAAACTCACTCATACAATTCCTGTCCCACATCAGATTGTGGCCAGTTACTCATCTTTATGGAGTGCGGTTTTCTTCACTTCAAACTGAAGCAATAACACTATTGTTGTAGTGTAGTGATTTTAGTGTGCGTGTGTGTGTGTGTGTGTGTGTGGAGGAGAGAGAGACAGGGAGGGAGAGAGAGACAGAGAGAGAGAGAGAGAGAGAGAGAGAGAGAGAGAGAGAGAGAGAGAGAGAGAGAGAGAGAGAGAGAGAGAGAGAGAGAGAAAGAGAGAGAGAGCACCAGAGCCCACGGGATATTTAACATGTACTAGTTACCATGCTAAGGGTTTCATCTGTATCATCCTAATTAAGTCCCACAACAACATAGAACTAGGGTTTACACTCACGAGTGAAAAGCAATGAAAACAAAACCAGAGACACAGGAAGCTAAGAATTTTCCCAAGATCAAACTTAGGAAGTGTGAGAGCTAGACAAACAAATTTAGAGATTATGTCCTTAACCCCTGGGCTATGATGCTTCCAATACAGAGCTCAGCATGTTTCCCTAACCTTCCCTGTCGCTCTCTTCCTGTTTTCATCTCTCTCAGTCCTCAATCTCCACATCCTCCTTAGATTATTCCTTACCTATGATGGCTGTAGCTAACTGAACTGTAATCCTCAATAAACCTCTATAATCCTGTTCAAGGCAACCTTGCTGTCTTTAAACAAAGCGTACGTTCCAGTCCCTTCAATGCTGCAAATATCTGGGATACCTACACCGTTCTTATCAGTAAACACATATTGATACGTCAAGTTGTCCAAATGGCATCCCCTCTGGCCATGATTTAATCGCTGCGTTATAGTCAATGTTTGTTCAGCATCATGTGTCACATGTTATTCTCCTTTATACCTCGATGTTTGCTCAATAATTGCATCAACTCTACTTGGTAACTGATGCAAACGAGTCAGCAGTTGCCGCGTCAGTGTATTTATGGGATTTATGTATCTCCCTCCGCCAATTACATGCTGAGAGAACAAGAATATCTCCATCCCTCCACCAGCTATGTTTGTACAGCACCTGGCACGTAATAAAACAGTAGCTCAACAAATCTCTATTAAACTAATGACCAGAGCAGTGCCTGCAGGTCCTCAACTGCAGACTTGGAAACTCTTCCTGGCTCATCAGCCCTCGAGTTTCTCCGAGCACAAGAGAAGCATAACAAACCTACTTCGCGTCTAGCTGCCTCCTATGCACGCTTAAGGAATCTACGAGTATTTACCAGCGGTTCTGCTTCGCTAAGTACACACATAATCTCATGTACATCACCAAGCGGACTTAAAGTTTTCTACATATTTCCACGCTGGGACCCAACCACAAACAAAACATATTAGTAGGTCAATGACAGCGACATTGCATCTTACAGATGAATTTTCCACCAGGGCATAGGGCGCTTACTTGGGTCTCTCAGTAAGTCGGATTCTGTGGCCATTTCGATATTTTAGTTTGGAGTTTTCATCACCTTTACCGATTCCTCGAGTGGGGAGGTAAGATTTTTTTTTTAAACAAGCAAACAAAAACAGCCTCCCGCTGTGAGGGCAAACTAAAAGCTAAGGGCTCTCCGGGGCACCGGAACCCCGGCGCGGAGGCATCAGCATCCCACTCACGCGGCGGCGCAGCCCGGCCCGCAGCTCCGCCGAAGCCAGGCGACGCGCATCAGACTCCGCTCGGCCGGACCCGGGCGGGGGCAGGGGCGGCGGGGCGGCGCGCGGCCGGCCGGAGGGAGGGCGACCCTGCGACGCGCTGGGCTCGGCCGCGGCGTCACCGCGGGGCTGAGGGGCGACGCCAGGACCGCGGGGAAGCCCGAGCCGCCGCCGAGTCCACTCGGCCCGCCCTGCGACTTTGAAAGCGGTGCCCCGGACCGTTCCTTGGAGACGGTGACGCCGCGTCCGTCATCACGCGTGCGTCGGCGCGAGCGTCATCCCGCTGCCTCGGGTTGCGGCAGGTGATTGGCTATCTGTCAGGCGCGGGGCGGAGCCCTGAGCGCGCTGGGGGCCGAGTGGCCTCGCTTGGCGCCTTCCGCAGTGCTGCGGCGGGTGTCTGAGGTAGTGTGGCGCAATTTGATTTTTTTTTTTTTATATTTCTTCTCTTCTTTCTTTTTGTAGGACAACCGAAAACTGTGACGGGAGCAGGCACTAGATACATAGTTGCGTTGCTCTGCGTGTCTTGGTTTGGCAGACCCCAGGCGTTTGTGGGGCGTGTGCGGGGAGGGCTGTGGGTCCTGGGGTGAGGGGACTCGGAGTCCTCCGCAAGTGAGCTTGGAGCTGTGGCTTCTAGGTCTGGAAGTAGTGACCCTCCTGCTGCTAGAAAAGAGAGCCCTTGTCGAATGTTTAATCCGGTCACGTAGTCGGGTTTCCGGCTACCCTGCAAACCCTGCAGGTACTTCAAATCTAAGGATAAAATTTTGCAAAAAAAAAAAAAAAGTAAAATTTGTATTGGTAGATAAAATTACCATTTCCACTTTTAAGACGTGGTGTTGTGTGAGTTTGAGCCGTAGAGCTTAAAACACACAAATACACGTACACAAAAATACTGGAGTAAACGACATTAGCAAAAAAAAAAAAAAAAAGCTCACCTATAGTTTATCACTGGCTTTATAGAACCTTTTTAGTTGATTATATATTTACACATTGAAATAAAGGTTCACTAAGTATGTCCTGGTCCTGAGATCTGAGATGGCTTGGTTTGGTTATGAAGTGCTTGCCTGATTTAGGATTCCCAGCACACACACACACACACACACACACACACACACACACGCACGCACGCACGCACGCACGCACGCACATACCAGACAGGGCCCAGCCAGACAGGGCCCTGTGTGCCAGCCAGTACTGGGGAGGTGCAGACAGAAGGTTGGGGCAAAACGGGTGCTCTCTGGCCAGGATCCTAGACAAATTGGAAAACTTCAGGGTCAGTGAGACACTGTCTCAAAAGGTCAGGTATGTTAATAAGATTAGTTTTTCTGGGAGAAAATACCTGGTGAAAAAAAGTTTAAAAATATGTGAATAGCATTTGAGAAAGCAACCCACCTCATCCATACACAGGTGTGAACACTCTTCTGCAGGGACACACACAAAAACAACAAAAGGCAAGTATGTGCCGGATGAAGTTCTGTTAGACTTTCTGTTGAACAACTTCAGAACTTTTGTAACCCTGTACCTATAAACTAGCGTAAAGAGTGTTAGCCTTCTTCCTCTAAAAAGATTAGCTTTAAAATGTCTGTATGTCTGTAATAGCTGTACAAAGGTTTAAATTAGCTTTGAGTAAGTGAAGATTCAACCTGGTCTGGTCTTTAGTGCCCATAAGCTTAACACAAAAACTTAACATTGATTGGGCAAGCTTCACCTCTTCAGTGTAGAATACTTTCTGATGAAACTTCTACTGACTCCTCTCTAAGACAGTGTCCTACATTTGAATGCTGTATTGTAATGTAAGTTGGCATTGTATAAGTAGCTATAAAATTAATACTTACACTCAGCATTAATAAAATATACTGGCACAGAAAAAGCAAAGTGTGACTTCTATATAAAAATGAATGGGTTTTGTCTACATTGAATAGTGAAATAGGACTTTATGTTTGTACTTAACCTGCTTGGTTTTATACCATCATGGTAAAAATAAACACAAATCATTTGAACTTCCATACATTGAAAAATTAATGACAGATTTCACTAGTAATTTTTTTGTTTGTTTTTTGAGACAGTGTTTCTCTGCATTGTTTCGTAGGCTGCCCTGTAACTCGCTCTGTAGACCAGGCTGGCCTCGAACTCACAGAGATCCGCCTGCCTCTGCCTCCAGAGTGCTCAGATTAAAGGCATGGACCACTAGTAATTTTAATAAGTTGACACGAAATAACTAGTATTCTGCAAAATAAACCTGAACAATATACCAAGTTCGAGTGTAAGTAAGCAAGTTTCAAAGCTATCACATCACACCAAAGATTTGAGCCCAGAAAGTGTGGTTTCAGTAGCACAACCTTTAACTACTGGTAGTATAAATTATATCTAATGTTTTAATGTTTATAGTCTCTAGTTGAAATAAATGAATTGTTGCTTTACATATTTTATTATCATCTCAGTGATTTACAGTTTATTTTCAAAAGGTTTTATAATGTTTGTATTGCTGAATTATCCTTCCTTCTTAAAATAGTAAAAGGAGTAAACGCCCAGACTTAAATGGTATAATTAAAAGGCTTCAAATGTTCGTTTTGTATGTCCTTGAAATAATTTCCCTGAAAACTCGGGTTTGTCAGTTTCAGAACTCCGAGTCCTGCCCCCTAGAGCTTGTGCTGGGCGGAGCCTGACAGGGAGCCCTCCTCTAAGACCTGAGCTGGAGACCACAACCAAACTAGAACTAACAGCTTCCGGGTGTGTGTTCTATAGGTATGTCCTTGCATTTTCTCTTTAAAGTCTGTCAGAAGCTCCCACTAAAAACATTTTACTTTCCCTCTGCCTCCAGCTGGCACGGATTCCTCTGACTTCACTTCCTCCTTCCTCCATTTCTTTTAGAAATGTGTGGTGTAATGCAGTAGGCAAACTAAAAAAGAAGTATGTACTGTAGAAAAATTAAAAGATTTTGTTTTGGAAATAAAGGCACTTGGAAATTTTCTATGACAACTGTTTTATTGAAAAAGCATTCTTTAAAATCTTTTTACAGCTTTTTTTTTTGTCTCCTGAATGAATGCTCCAGGAGTCTGTCTCTCTTTTTATTTCCTTATATAGAAATTAAAATGATTGAAGTTTTAAAGTGTATGTTGAGAAAGATAAGCTGAAAGTGAAGACTACAGAGTAACAACCTTGTTTTAAGAATGCCAAAGCAGCTGAAGAGTGTGTGGAGGGATGGGGAACTCCTAGATAATGTTAGTGCTGACTCTGTAAATGTTTCGTCATAGTGCTAGTTAAGAGATTTAGCCTTAAATTGAACTATAAAATATTCTCAAATTGTTCATTTACAACTTTTATTGTGATGAACTCACAAACAGGCAGCTGCTCAAACACACAGTCACACACTCCCACACAACTATGACAGAGTTTAGATAGAAAAACAATTAGCTTATATCCTCTGTGATGACTCAAGTTTCCCTTTGTCTGAATTATGTCTTTCCGAATCACTTAGTATTACTCATTCTTTATCTCCTTTCTGAATGGTACATTATACCCACACTTACAGTTATCTCCATGTATATGTTAAAGGCTGTTCACAAATTTATACATATACATTATATATAATGTATATATACCATAATATATCTTTATTTTTTCAGAATTTCATATATGCATACAATGATTTTGGTTATATTTCTGTCCTTAACTCTTATTAGATCCATTCCTGCCTCTTTACCCCCTTCCAACTTAATTTTCTTTTCAAATAATCACTGCATCTGGTTTGTGATGCTATTATACTCATGCATATGGGGCCATGACTGGATCTGGGTCAATGTACCAGGGGCCACACCCTCAAAGAAAACGCTTTTTCCCCCAGAAGCCATCAACTGTCATTTGCTCCTCACCTAGGGATCAGGTGCATTTGAATCCCTTTCTCTTTCATGCTGAAATGTTGGCTGTCTTGATCTTGTACAGGTCTTGTGCACATAGTCATATCTACTATGAGTTCATGAGTATAATAGTCCTGTCGTGTCTAGAACACACTATTTTGTTCCTGTTCTCCGTGACCTTTGGCTCTTACAATCTTTCTAGCCCTTATTCCTTAATGTTCTAGAGCCTTAGGTAAAGGATGTGATTTAAAGGTCTTATTATATTAATACATAGCATTAACAAGACATTGATGTAACTGACACAGTGGGTTTCTTCTGCTTAAAACTGTACACTCAGAATTTTAGTTGTAGATACCAGAGCAGTATTCATTTGACTTGTAAATATCACCTAGTTAAAGCCTTCGGGCTTAGACTGAGTAATAAATACATATCATGTGGTGTAAGTTATGGGAATCGAAGTGGAAAAGTGCAGCGGTGATAGAGAATGTCAGGATCACTCCAGGTGAGGATGGCCATGGACAGTTAGGATATTTATTTCATCAGCCTATGTGCAAAGAAAGAGAAAGACAGTCGGGGTGAAATCTTAGTAAATAACTAAAGGAGTTGGGAGAAGGTTTAGTTGTCTTGAGCTTATGCTGTTTTCAGATTAACATGTCAGCAACATTATACATTTTAGTTTAATTTTTAAATTGAAAATGGATTTTCCCATATAATCTGATCACCGTTTTCCCTCCCTCATCTCCTCCCATATCCTCCCCACCTCCCTACCCATCCAAATCCACCCCTTCTCTCTCTCTAGAAAACAGAACAAAACAACCCCCCCAAAAGCCCCAAAAAACAACAGCAAAGAAGTATTGAGAAGCAGTTACACACAGAAAACCCATAAAAACACAAAATCGGAAACGATATAAGCAAAAGACCAATAAGATTTAAAAAAGCGCCCAGAGAAAGCATTATAAGACAAAGCAAAACAAAAGCAAGCAAACAAACAAACAAAAAAATCCAAAACCAACCAAACAACCAACCAAATACCTTCCCAAATACTGTTAAGTTCATTTTGAGTTGGTCATATACTACTGGGCATGGTGACTATCCTTAAGAGTTGTTTGTATGTTCAGTGAGACTCCAGTGGAGAAAACTAAATTTTCCTTTCTGAGCAGTTGTCAACTGGAAATGACTTTTTGTTTAGCTTGAACCTGTGCAGACCCTGTTTGGGCTGCCACTGTCTCAGTGAATTTATACAAGTATCAGTCCCTGTTGTGTCTTGAAGGCCTTGTTTCTTGGGTGTCTTTACCCTCGCTGGCTCTTATACAGTCTTTTTGTTTCTGCTTCCATCAAGTTGCCTGAAGTCTGAAGGGAAAGGTTTGATGGAGACATCCATTTCAGACTGTGTGTTCCAAGCTCTCACTGTATGCACATTGTCCAGTTGTGGGTCTGTTTGCTCCCGTCTGCTGCAGGTGGAAGCTTCTCTAGTGATGGTTGAGTGAGGCACGGATCTGTGGGTATAGCAGAGTGTTGTTAGGAGTCATTATTTTGCTATATTCCTTTTGTAGAACAGTAGTATTTGGTTTTCCCCTAGGTCCATGGCCTATCTGGTCCCAGGTTCCTGACCACCCAGGCAATGTCAGATATGTGGGCGTTAAGCCAAATCAAAGATTGGTTTCTGCTACAAGCTTTGTGCCACCATAGCATGTCTTGCAGGCAGGACACCATTGTGGATCAAAGGCTTTGTGGCTGGGTTCATATTTACATTTCTCTTTTGTTGAAGATGCGGTGGTTGTTTTTTTTTTCACTCTGTATTTCTGGCTTCTTATTACAAATCAGGTGTTCATTGGTGTGTAGATTTATGTTTGGGTCTTCAATTCTCTTGAGGAGTTACAGGCAATTAATGACTGCTAAGAAAGGAAGAGTCAGTCTTCCCCAAGGATGAGCCCACTAACTGGTTACTCAATACCAAATAGTGAGCCTAAAAACATGTATGAGTATATGAACAACAATGAATGGACTCAACAGGTAGTATTTTTATATTAGTATATATGAATTAATATACTGAAAATAGAAAAAGAAAACAAGAGAGATAATACATGAAGGTAGAAGGACGGCTTGGAAGTGGAAGAAGGGAACATGGGGAGGTGAGCAAGATATAGTAATAGGGAATTGAAGATGATAAGTATGTATTATATACATGTATGAAATGTCCTAATAAAATCCATTATTTTATACAATTAATAAATGCTATGAAAGTGGAAAATATTTACAGATAATTGATATACACAAATAATGTTATCATCTGTTAAAAACAATGTTGTTTATTAATGAGGTAGATATATTTACTTATTTTTATGTGAAGGATTAATCTTCACTAAATATGGAAAATACATAAACTTGTATAACTAAGTACACTTATAATTTCTTCAGTGGACTTAGTTATAACATTTTACAATGATTTTTGCATACTACAAATAAACAGAGCTACTTCAAGATTAAAAGTCATGAATCTTTTAGACTCCATGATTTGCCACAACCCAGATGGCCGTTTGACTCCTAGGATCTTGTTCTTGTCACTCTACTGCCTACCTGTCTTCTGTTTGGCACTGCAATTTTCAAGTAAAGGACATTGTTACATGTTGTTAACAAATCTGTTTTAATTTGCTTCTTCAGATGGATTTTAGAATTGAATACACTTGGGATGGCTTTCCAGTGAAGCATGAGCCAGTGTGTGTCCGGCTGAGTCCAGGGGAAAAGGGTGTGAAGATGGAAGTTAGTGCTCCATTTTTCAATGATCCTCCAGCTCCTCTTGGAGAAGCAGGAAAGCCTTTCAGTGAACTGTGGAATTACGAAGGTAAGTAGAAGTACTGTATTTTATTACAAACATAAATCTTTTTCTAATAACCTCTCAGAGAACTATTATTTTATCTTGCTGTTAGGAAGTAATATGCTTCTGAACAACTGACATTCAGTTTCTGATCTTGACTACCCATCTGTCATTGTGACTTCCCTCCCATTACCAATGGGTTCCAATATATGAACAGAACAGAGAAAAATGGCATGACAAATACAGATGTTTGTGTTGCTGCCACATTTCCTTCCTTTACTTATGTCATCTTCTCAAAAAAGAGCTCGTTTTTGGAGTTTTTTTCCCCATTTTGTCTTTTAAGAATCTTTAAATTGCCACTTTTACCTAAATAACTTCTTGTATGGAAAATTGAGAATGTGTTACTTACTGGAGAAATTCTGTCAGCATAAGATTTAATATTTACTTTCTGCTCTCAAGTAATCTCACATATCAAATTAAGGCTGAAAGACATGACAGGAAATTAAATGGTTTCAGGTTTGTTCTCTGACTTTCTTGTACTACATCCTCATCAAGCTGCAGGGTTCTTTCTGAAGTACTGTTCATGATGCCATCCCCGTAGATATAAAACACTACATTACATAGAAATTAAGAATTTACTCCAAGATTTCTCAGTCAGGGTATTGGGATTTATTTACTTAGTTAGCACAGAGCCTTGCTTCTAAGTAATCTTTTTTCCTAAGTCTGTGTTTCACTTTGAAACTAGAAGGATTTGTTAACTCTCTAAATGAAAATTTTAATTTACCCTTCAGCTAAGGTTTTTAATGCAAAAAAGCAAATTGTGTTCAAGTATGATCTCATATTTATTTTTAAAATATCTTAAGAGGTAATTTGTTTGTAGAACCTTAGAAAAGGTCTGGCAAGTTTTAGACCAAAATAGAAAGAAAAGGACTGTGGTTTTTTCACTTCATATATTTTGTGCTGTTACTGTAACTGTTTACAAGAAAGATGCATTACATTCTCAATTAACTAATTTTTAAAGCAACTCATCCTCAAAATAACCCTGAAATTAGAATAAAAAGTCACCACTTACAAATAACCAGTAGGTTTTTAATTAGTTTTTTTAATTAGCTGAAAAAACATTTCCAGTCTTGTGGAAGTTGGGACTTGTGGAGCTGGTTATCTCCTCCCGCCGTGTGGACTCTGGGGATCGAACTCGGATCATCAGGGTTGAGCCACCACAGCAGCCTCACCATGCCTCATATTTGGTGTGCCCTTGTTGTAGACAGGTAGTCATTGGCGCACACAGTCACATGCGTGCACATGTCTACATCCACATTTGGCTCATGGCTCCAACCTTTAGTTACTGCTTCATACATATTTCACTGTCTTTGATTTTAATGGCACCATTATATTCTATTACATAGAATGTATGCATCCTGTATTGTACTTTATAAGTTTTGATGAATAGTAGGGGATTTATGTACCAGGAAATAATCTTATGTAAGAAGAGATAGCTGTTTATATCATTTCTAGTTTTTTGAGTCATACTCTGATGGGTAGAATTATATTTAATTTCTTTTTCTAGTTGTCTGATTTGTTTCCTTGGGATAAATTCCAAGAGGAAGATAACTGGGCTAAAGTCCATCTTTGCAGACATGTTGATTTCCCTATGGCCTCACCATCGCTAGGCTTTGTATTTCCTTTGAATTTATAGCAGACTTCTATGGGAAAAATTGAGGGTGACTTATTTCCTATGCTTTTCTTCCAGACTTTGTATTTATTTTTCTCCCTTTCCTACTGGGGATAGTATGATGATTTAAGAAACTTAGTAATTCACTTTATATTAGTAAGGAATAAATTATTTACTGTGTAAGCAAAATAAAATTTCCCATGTTCTGTTTTCATAAGTTGTAGAAGCATTTTTCTTGAACGATACAACTGAGCAGTATTTAGAAGTTGAACTTTGTCCGTAAGTATAAACTGTTTTATTAAACTATTACTACATGATTTGAACATTTTTGTTTTCTAGTTATAAGTAGTAAGTTCAGCTACATAGTGGTAATATTAACGTGTATCAATTTTAAATCTCTATTGTCTTGTACAATGCATACTTTTAGAATTTATGTTTAGATTATATCCTACATGTTTGAGTGTATATGTTGATGTGATTTTTTTGGTTTATCGATATAAATGATTTTGTAATAAACGTGATAATTTTTTTACAAAGTGGAAAACAGTACCAATAAATCATTACTTTATATGTTTGCACTATTATATATTAACTATCTAGAAGTGAAGGGAGAGTTCCTATCCCTAATCAAGACATTATCTTCATATCTAGTTTATTTTATTTGCCAGTTTGTTTTCTAAAGAGAGAAAGAAGGTATGTAGTTAGATTGATGGGGAGAATCTACCAAGAGATAGAAGAAACTGTGGTCTGAATTTATTGTATGAAAAAGTTTATTCTCAATAAAATATGGGAGACATGAAGATATAATGAACTTACAGAAATGTTTCTTTTAGATTTTTGAATGATTAAACTTGAATTTTATGTATTATATAATTTTCATTTAGTTGTCATTCATTCTTTTGAATGAGTAGTATATCATTTTTGCATTTAATGCCCAAGAATATAATTTAAATCATATCAGAATTTTCCAAGACTCACAGTAAAAATATTACCTGTGAGCCACTACACCCAGTTGTCTTGGAATTTCTTTGTCTGAACTTCAATATTTACTTGGGAACTTTCTTTACATGGCGGCAAACTTTTTTTTCTGAACAGATATAAGAAGAGGAAATGTATGATTACTGTTACCTAAATTACAGCATTACTTTTAATACATGAGATGTTTCTATATATTGCTATTATTTATTTTAGATGTCACTTAAATGTTTCTCAGTATCAGTGTCCAGTAGTCTTTGTTCCTTTGTAGACTGACAATCGAGCTACAATTAATCCACATGAAACTTGGTAGTTGTTTGTTTTGTTTTGTTTTTTGCTAACTCTAACATGGAAAATGCATTTATTTGCAATTGTTTTTGTTGTGGTTTGTTTTCTGAGACTAGGTCTATCTATGCAGTCCTGGCTAGGGTGGCATTCACAAAAATCACCTGCCTCTGCCTTCAAGTGCTGGGATTGAAGATGCATACTACCACATGAGGCCTGCATTATCTTTTTTAAAATCAGAATAATTAGATATGTTTTCATATTATCTTTCAGCTAGCATGTTAAAATATTTTGTTAAAACCATGATTAGTTCTTAATAACTATCATGAAAAGTCAGACAATTTTAACTATCATGTACTGACTTTTGTCCCACAGTCTAGAAAAAAAGACAAACATTTTTAATTTGACTAAAAGACAACAAAGTATTTGGATTTACCAAAACTTTCAAGTTTACAAAGTACTTATTCTTTTATTTTAGATATGTGTATGTATGTGTTCGTGTGCATATGTGCCCCATGTCTAGTATGTGGAGGTCCGTTCTCTCTACCAAGTGGGTTCTTGGAATTGAACTTAGGCCATCAGACTTGGCAGCAATCTCCTTTATCTGTGGAGCCATCTCACTGGTGTCTGCAGTTTTTTATTATTAATTATTATTATTATTATATTGTATCGGATTATTTTCATGAAGTGGCAATCTAACATTGGATAAATAGAAAAACAGTTTTCCATTAAGAAAAAAACTGAATGGTAGCCATTGAGTATAAAAGTTTTTAAAATTAAGATGCTCAGGTATTTTGGTTTCCTATACATCAGGATAGTTAATAATCATGGTTTTGTCTCAGGCAGTCAATTCCTGTACTGGTTAATTAGCAGCTAGAAAAACAGCAAGAAAAACATGGTTGTAATTTGCAAGAAGTTTTACGCATCCTAGGATCCTTCCAAAGCCCCATAAAAACATCAAAATTAATCAGAGGATTTTTAAATGGAAAGCATTACTTGTCTTCTGTTGGAGTACTTTATTGCAGAAAATCTTCCCTCTAAAAGCTCACAAAGGGCCATCTGGGTGAAAATGTTTGATAGACTTCCAGAGGCGGAAAATTTGCTTCATGTAAATACATGCAATCCATTGCTTCTTACAGACTCCGATAATCCCACTTACTCATTCCCATTAGAATTTCCTTTTGAGGAAATATTATGCTTGCTTTTGGAGATTTGACATTGGTGCCTGAGCAAATGGTAGAAAGCTGGGAAACAGATGGCAAACTGTTCAAGGATAGCAGTGTGAAAAAACAAACAGGTTAAAGTCTGTGCCTTGTTCGCTAGTTTTGGACAATGTATATTTTACATCTTCTACCTTCCTAATGGGCCTCAAGGAAGTTTCTTACAGAAATAACCATTAGTTAAGCTGTTATGTTAGGGCTTGGAAATCAGCTCCAGCTTTCCTTGGAGTGCTTTAGTTGTTGCAGCTGTTGTTATTTTAAACTCCTAAGTATCATGATTATCTCTTTTTTCTTACATTGTGTTAATCTAACCAAATGAAGTATTTTATATAATTTCCTATCTAAAGAATATGAAAAGCAGGGGCCAGTGAAATTGCTCAGTGGGTAACGAATATGAAAAGTAGTGTTAGCCAGTGAAATGCTATGATTTGTCAGCAGTTGTTTATGAAACAGTAATTCCAAAGTTGCAGCTTCTAAATAATTGACACACTGGCTCTCCCTATAGTTATCCAATATTATACTGCACTTTTTATTTATTTGGAAATTTAGCTACAAGTACATATATTATAGTTAGAAAAGAAAATAACAGACTATAGAAATGACAGACTATAGAAATGATCCCTGAAAGTATAATCTTAATTGTTATTCTTTAACACTCATGAGGAATCTTAATTCTACAGACATGGACAGCATTTAGTTCTTTTACTCTCTGGAAGAAGAAATGTTTGGAAAGTGAGTAAATAAACATATGAAACTAAACCTATAATGCACAGCATGTGTACCTATAAGTTTAAATTTGCCTTTAATGTTTCTCATAGAAAGAGCTCGCATTATCATTCAAAGTGTTCAGAGGAGAGACAAACTGGAAAGGCATAGCTTTTCTTCCTTGGAGTTATTTTCCACCAAATGTGACAAAATTCAACTCATTTGCCATCCATGGGTCAAATGATAAAAGAAGTTATGAAGCCCTTTACCCAGTGCCACAGCATGAACTCCACCAAGGACAAAGACCTGATTTGTAAGTAGAAAATAAGTGGAGGTACATTCAAACTACAGAATTTTGGGAATTACTTTTTTTTGTTTTTTTAGACAGGGTTTCTGTGTGTAACCCTAGCTGTTGTGAAACTCGTTCCATAGACTCAGACTCTGAGATCTGCTTGCCTCTGCATCCCTAGTGCTGGAATTAGTTCTTGGTGGAGCAGTAGTAACACCTGATAGTTGAATATGGAATATATATGAGTACATAATAAGGACCCTCCTGACCCTCAACTTTTGACTAAGGTAGGGCATCTCATTATTTTCAGCAAAGTAGTCTTTCATGATTATATAAGAAGAATACCAGTGAGTTTACATCAGCTGATACTGTTTTTTTTCAAGCAAGCTTATCTGTGCTATATTTTTTTCATAAACTACAGACCCAAATAATTTCTTTTCTCCACATTCTGATCCAAGTCCTCCAGATCCTTACTTAAAAGACAAAAAAAACAAAAAAAGGCAAAACAAGCAACCAAACAACAGCAACAACAACAAAGCTACCCCCACACATCTGTCCCGCGGGCAATCAGTGCCAGGAGAAGTAAAGTGTTTGCTCAGAGTACTATACATTGCCCATAAGTCCTCTCGGTGAAGGTGAGGGTCCTGAGCCCACTGCGATGCAGTAAGTGCTGGACAGCAGAGGAAGGAGCAACGCTTTGACTAATGTAAAGGAGGGTTTTGACTTGTGTGCTAAAGAATGGTAACACACAATGGGGAGACTAAAACGGGGAGCATTTTGGGTAAAGATGGGACATTACCATCACACTCCTTGCCTTACGTAGAGCATACAAGCCAGTCAAAGATGGTGCTAAGGCGAAGCCAGATGGGTGAGTTCAGAGTTGTTTACAAAACGATTATTGGGTTGCCTAGATCGAACCAGATGAGGCCACCGCATGAACAGCTCATGTTCACTAGGTAAAGCATAGGGCACCTAGGCACATGATAGGCTGATCTTTAGAACCATTGGCTGGCTGTTGTCACACCCTCCCCCCATTGCAGGCTTTTTCCCTTAAAAGATGCTTGCTGTGTGGTAATAAACTAGTTCCTGCTTGACTAGATTCCCTGCTGTGCCTGATTGTCTCTAGGGTTCTTGGAGGCTGGGGAATGGGAGAGCAGTGCCCTTTCTCTTCTTATGACCCAGCTCAACTTTCTGTGCTTGGGCTTAGACCCTTCAGCTGATACTGTTATGCCTTCAATTTAATATATGATCCTTTTCCTAGATATTATAATAGCCAGAGGGATCTGTGTTTTGTAGTGTGGATAGAGGGATTATAAATTATTTTCTTTGTTACTAAAGAACTTGTACTTAGTCACATCACTGTTCTCTTGGTTGCCTCATTAGAATAAGAGTACCAACTATGTTTCTAGGCAACCATGCTTGTGATAAAACGTCTTAATTGGTAAATGACATCTGCATTAAGTAATTCTGAGTGACCTATAAATATGTGGTAGAGACAGTGTGGCTTAGGGATTCCTCTTTAACAGTTATGTTATCTGTGGGAACTCAAGTTTATGCCCTCTGAGTGGTTGTCAGAGGTCATGACTCCTGCGAGGCAACAGATAGTTAAGCCATGGTACCTTCAACACTTGTCCCATTTTAGTCTTGTTTCCTGGCATCTGAATCTGTCATGTTGGAAGAACATAGCGCCTTCTGAATGCTTCATGCATTACTCTGAGGACTAGTCCCTTAAAGAGGGAAACTCAGTACTCTCTTAGGGCAGACTTTGTTTTCTTCTTCCTGTCTCTTAGTGTACTCAGTGTGGTCAGCACTGGGGAGTCTGGATGTTTAGCAGAGCCTAGCAAAGACATCCTAGTGGGCAGCACCATGCTTGCTAGAAATCCCTGCCTTTTTCCCTTTAGAATATGACGCCCCCTTTCTTCCGCACATTCAACTTCTCTTGCTTTTACTGAACTCTTTTTTTCTCTCATTTCCTCTGGCAGATACCTGTATTCTGCATGACACACTTAAACATCTACTTTGCCTTTCTCCTAGTCCTGACTCGTTCTGCCTAGCTTTTTTTCTGTGTTTCTTCCTTCCCTATTGATCCTTGGCATCTTTCTCTGGGATTTATTGATGTAACTAAACTGGTTCATCCTGGCCAGGTGGGCAGAAGGGAATAGAAATCTAGGTGCCACCTACTGAGAGCCATCATACTAAGGTGATGTGCTAGTACCTTTGCAGGGACATATGAATGTACATTGACTAGGAAGGAAGCATGGCAGAGCGATTTCCTATAGCTCAGAGCTTTACTGAAGCACAGGTGAAAGCCTTTCTTTACTCACTAAGCCACAAGAGAACACTTTAGAATAGTAATGACTTTTCTGAAACGAAAACAAGATTATCACTCTTCTATGTTAGCCTCCTTTACATTGGCAGAGAAAGAACACACATCTGTCTCTGTCCTTTATTCACCAGAACTTATGAAAGTTTGAATATAAAAACATAGTCAAGAACTTAAAATTGGCTTACAGCTAAAATGAGTTAAACTGTTCTCTCTCTCTCTCTCTCTCTCTCTCTCTCTCTGTGTGTGTGTGTGTGTGTGTCTCTGTGTGTGTGTGTGTGTGCGCGCACGCGCGCGCATGTGCTTGTGCAGGTAGACTCTGAAAGATACCTTCATGTGTTGTTCTTCTGCAGCACTGTCTACCTCATTTGGTACAGGGTCTCTCATTGGCCTTGGAGCTTACTAAGAGCAGGCTGACTGGCCAGTGAGCCACAGGTATCATCCTGTGTCTGCCTTCCCTGTACTGGATTTACAAGTGAGCACCACTACACCTGGCATTTTTATGTGCATTACGATAATGGGATTCGTATTTCTTTAGCAGATACTTTACTGAGCCCCTTGAGAGCTGATATTTACTTTTCCCCTGAGCTGTGAGGGAGCTATGTGTAGAATTGAAGAAGACTGCTTTGAAATATGGGTGAATGTTTTTAGAACTGAGTATTTGATAGCTACAATAAGAAAATTGTACATAGAGAATACATTTAACATTTGTTATTCCTTAAAATGGAATGCTGTACTATCACCAGTGTGACAAAACAAATAGCTCTATAGGACCACAATTTCACAAATGCATAATTCATTTCAGTTTCTTCCTTTTTTTACTTTTAGCCACCGTCTAGAATATTTCAAGCCTTTCAGTTTTAACACCCCGCTTGGAGAAGAATGGAAGCAGCCAGAATCAGACTTGTGGCTAATAGAGAAACCTGATATGTAGAAGTATAGTAGATAACCAACCATGTCAATCATTTCTCCTCTGTATTTTTTAAGGTAATCTAATAAGATATGTAAACACATTTCAACAACAAACATTTTAACAGATGTCACTAAAATGTATCTCTGTGGCAAATTATATGTGACTAACAAAGAAATTGAAATTATGTGTAATGTAAAGTAATTTTTACTTAAATATCCTGTTCATCCTTGAAATTAGTAGAAAACAATAATCTATTTCAGTTGATGAGATGGTCTATATCTGTTAAGTCATCAAGATAGAAGATTTATTTAACTAGATATTTTTACTGTATAGGAAGAAATGAAATAGTCTTTTTTTTTTTTTTTTTTGGTTTTTCGAGACAGGGTTTCTCTGTGGCTTTGGAGGCTGTCCTGGAACTAGCTCTTGTAGACCAGGCTGGCCTCGAACTCACAGAGATCCGCCTGCCTCTGCCTCCCGAGTGCTAGGATTAAAGGCGTGCGCCACCAACGCCCGGCCTGAAATAGTCTTGAATCCTGGAAATAGAGTTGCTACTTTTACTTACAGATAAGTAATATTTTCTTAATGCTTTTAACCAAGATGTCAGAAATCTTCATTTGATTTTTGAAGTGTCAAACATTCCTGGTTGAAGTTAGACTCAAATATAATAAATCAATAGCCCCTGTTACATAAATGGATCATGCAAACAAAAATGCCAACATAAGGAGCCTCATAGTGAAACTGCACCACAGATCAAATAGACACAGCTGCAGAGTGCTCCACCAACAGCTGCAAAATGAACTTTATTTTCAGGGGCTCATCACTTTCCAGAATAAGACTAGTAACATGTTTGTTGCAATTCAGATGGCTGTAGCTGCTTGGGTTATCTATACCAGAAGACTTTTAGATCTGATAAATCAATTCAGCCAAGTGGCACATAGAGCAGTCAGCATATATGCAGAAATAATAGCGTTCCCCCCCACCACCACCAATAACCAATTACCAAGAAAGAAATCAGGAAAGCAGTCTCATTCACAGCAAAAAGAATATCTAGGAACAAGCCTTGTGCATTAGTTGCATTTCTCCCTGTAGTTACAAGATAATTGACAAAAATAATTCTGAAGGAGGATATAGTCCATCATGATGAGGAAAGCATGACAACAAGAATGTGAGGTGACTGGTCACATTGTGTCTACAGTCAGAAAACAGTAAGATAGCTATCCTTAAAAAAGTAACAAATGCCAGTGAAGGTAAGGAGAAGGACGGCCCTTGTTTACTAGCCATAAGGATTTGTATTAGTCCTGTCAACTGTGGAAATCAGTATGGAGATTCAGAAACACTGGAAATAGAGCTATCATATGATCCAGCTCTACTAGTTCTGAGTACATCCCCGGGGGAATTCAAATCAGCATAATTCAGAGACACCTGCATAGCTGTGTTCATCACAGTTTCAAGCTATGGCATCAGTCTAGGTGTCTGTCGACTGATGAATGAATAAAGAACACACACACACACACACACACACACACACACGAGACAGAGACAGAAATGACATACTATTCAGCCAGAAGAAGAACAAAATCATGCCATTTTCAGGAAAATGGAAGAAAATTAAGTCAGACTCATGGTTTTTCCTTATCTATGAAAGTTAAGCAAAGCAAAACATCTGAATATTGGACAGTATCTTATTAGAAATGTGGAAGATGATTTAAGGAGAGGATAGGGATAGGAAAAAGATGTGGTGGGGAATAAAAATGTCCACAGCTGTATGCATGTATAAATATGCCAAAGTAAAATCCACTATCCTGTGTAATTAATATATACAAATTAAAAGTCTAGAACTCACAAATTTTGTACTGTTTCAGAGCTTGCCTTCTAATAAGGTCTGTGAACTTCTGCATCATATTTAGTCCTTCTCAACATCATTAGCTCAGAGGCCAGACTCACAGAAGGTAAAGTTTATCACTTAAACACTTTTTTGCCTATCAACGGTATAGTTTCCCCATCTCCTTCCATTAAAAAAAAAAAGATTATTTGTGTGTGTGTTTGTTGCTATTGTTGCTTCTTTTATAACAGAAGCTGAAATTCTAGAGCCTTTTCTTGGAAATGTTATTTCCACAAAAACAAAGCCCCCCCCTGTATTTTCCCAGATTCCTTTGCAGGTAGTATGGCCATGGAATGGTTTGTGTCATGTGCTGTATAACAACATTTTGATTAGTAACAGACTGCTGGTGCTGCTTTTGTAACGCTCTACTTGAGCTGAAATGTGATAACATAGCCATTGTAATATTATGGCACAATGTACTACATGTCTGTGGTAATATTTACATAAAGAAACCTACTGAACTGCCAGTTGTATCAAATATAACAATGTGTATGGCACAAAATGCTTGACAATGATGATAAATGACTGTGTGACTTGCTTATGAATTTAGTATACTGTACTTTCATCATCATTTTGGAGCATATTTCTTATTAAAAGTTTTATGGTAGAATAATATGCTTTGTTATGTAAGCAGCAGCTTTAAGCCCCTAATTTTGAAGGCATTTCTTGATAGCATCAATAGGTCACATTAGATGATACTGAGTTTACATAAGCGTACACTATAAACTTGTACTTGTGTTGCAGGATTCCCACCTGGGGCCCTGTCGGCACTTTAACCCCCAAAATAACACACAGAGACTCTATTAGTTACAATGCTGTCAGCCAATATCCAGGGCTTCTCATTGGCTAGTTCTGTTTTAAGTATTAACCCATGACTACTAATATATATTTCTATAAGGACTTATCTTTCTGACGACAGCATCCTGATGTGTTCTCTCTTCTACAGGATCACATGGTGACCCCCCACACTTGACTACATTTCCAAGAATCCTCCTCAACTCCTAGTCCCGCCTATCTTGCTTCCTCATTGGCCAACAGTGCTTTATTCATTAACCAGTAAGAGAAACATATACATAGAAGGACTTCCCCCATCACACTTGAGATAAAAATCAAATATGGATGTGTCTCTGGGAAAATGCCCATGCTATTAAGTGACATGAGGCTGTATTTGGTCTTAGGTGGGGCTTGAAGAAAAGTTATTTCAATCTGGGGCTATGCCTCAGTGGGAGAGTATATAGCTAGTATGTGCTTGCTTCATTTCAATTCCCAGCAGGGTGAAAAGAAAAATGTTGAAAGAAGAAAGCTATTATAAAAACTAACTCAGTACTTTTTCTCCTTTTCCCTTCGACTGCTTGTCTATGAATTTACCCAGCATTTTTGACCCTATGGAGACAACCCTGGGAGAATTTCATAAAAAGACAGAGGAAGAACAGTAGTGTCATATATCAAAACTGGACTGCCTACCAGCAGACTTGTTAAATGGAGAAAAATTGTCTAATATGTTCACAAAACTAAAAAAATAACTGTTTCTATCATATTTAGTCAAATGATATTCCCAACTTCCAGTTAGATTGGAAATGTCAGTTGGGTTCTCTTCCTAAAGTCACATACAGTTTCACTAACTATCTCTCTTATTTAACATTGTATGAAACATTTTAGCCAGTTCAGTGAAAGTATGTTAGAGGAATAGAAGACACGTGTTATAAGGAAATGAGTTAAAATATTTTCAAATGTAGGATTTACATTTAAATGATCATAATGTAAGAGCTGGGGGTGTGTCTTAGTGGAGAACTTATCCATCATGTCAGAAGCTCTGGGATTAATTTCTAGCACTGTAGCAACATATAATTAATAATAAATAAAATCAGTGACTGGAGGGATGGCTCAATAGTAAGAAACCTTGCTGTTCTTTCAGAGGACCCTGGTTCAGCTCCCAGCACCCACTTGTTGGCTCACACCATCTGTAACTTCAATTCCTGGAGATCTGATGCCTTTTTCTGACCTCTGATAGTATCAGGTATCAGGTATACACATATATATGTGCAAGCAAAACATTCATACACAAAATATTAATACAGAAAAATGATTATAGTTCACAGAAAAGTGAGGCACTTACAACAGATTTCTATAAATGCAAGTAAATTTAGTCAACTTGTATCAACACATGGTCAATATATGAGTATATATTGTATTTCTGTCTGTTATAAACAGCCCATAGTTCAAAACTACTTATCCAATCAAAACATGAAAAAACTAAGACTAAAGTTAATCAAAATTACAGAACCTCTATACTGATTAGATTCAATATTATTAAATTTTGTGTTAATTGATTCATAGTAATCCCAGTGAAAAATCTCTAAAGATTTTTGTGTTGCCAGTTCATGAAAGAGAGGGGAACTGACAAGTGGATTCAGAAATTATATGGCAATAAAGAGGGATTAAAACTGACTTAGATAATTTTGAAAAAGAACAGAGTCAGGGGATTTACATCTGTAACAGGAATTACTAAAAGACCCAGAGACAGAAATTGGGGTTCAAGCTGAAGATCAGGGAAGCAAAGCAGCAGAGCTACCAGAGATCTCTTTCTTCTGATAGGGCTGGGATATTCTTATTTTCAATGTGGCTGGAGAATGAATGCCTTATACTGACTACTGAGCACCCTGCTCCTGTCTTTTATACCCCCATAGTGTTGGGATTAAAGGAATATGTATATACATATACTCATGCACAGACTACACAAATAAAAACTAAAGAAAAAAATCACATTCGCCAATATCCTCCCCTAAGGAGGTGAAAAGGAAGCTGTAGATTGGGAAGGAAAAACATAATGTGTATGTAACATATAATTAACATATATATGTATGTATATTCAACAAAATGATTTTTATCCAGAACATACTCTTATGCCCAGATCTCAAAGACCACCACGGAGACCAAATCCATATGCAAAAGCAAAGAACCTTTATTTGAGCTTGGGCCTTCCATGTGTCCTATACAGTGGTAGGTAGGAGAGTGCTGAGCCTGGATGGGGTAGGGTTTTTGTCTTAGTAGAGGTTGGGTGGTGACCGAATTTCGGGGGTTGAAGACCCTGATTGGCTGGCATTTGTCTAGGGGTTTCTTGGTGAAACTGGAATAGAGGAGTGCTGGGCTCAGGGTCATAGGCCATTCTTACCTAGTCTTACCTAATGGTTGGAATGTTTGGAATGCCAGGTACTTTCCCCTAGATGCTGGCTGTCCCTGGATGGTGTCAGTTTACAGCTTTTCCTCGAACATGGTGCTGTCTGCCAGTAAACCTAAACTCAGGCCTACTTTTTAGCTAGTTTCTGTTGAGCCTGTCAGGTCAGCAGTGTAGCCAAGCTGCTCTGGATCCCACACATACAAAGAACTTCCGGAAAACTAGAAAAATGACAAGGCAGTAAAAAAGCAAAGACTTGAACCTACATACACTTTGTTAAAACATACAGAAGATCGTTTAAGGATTGAGGCATTATGCTGGCCTGTCCTTGTTACCTGGCAGAACGCACTCAGGCAGTATCCTGGCCAGTCCAGGGTTCCATGATGCAGGTGCAAAGGGCTTCTTTAAAAGAAAGACCTCTACCCACTTACACTCTCTCTGGCACTCTCTCTGTCTTTCCCTCTCTCTTTTCTGCTCTTCCCCTGGGGCAGACAAGACTTTCCTGTCTCCTTCTCTTCTGCCCTCTCTGTGTCTCTGTGTTTCTTTATCTCTTTTCTCTTTCCTTCTCCCTCCCTCCCCTTTCTGATAAAACTTCTCAGTTAAGCTCTGTCTGCATGGCCTGTCTCGGTCAACCTGGGTCTGCCATGGAATCCGCCAAGGTCCCCCTTGCCCTTTATCCCAACAGTCATCTTGTTGAAAGCCTCTTAACCTTAGTTATTGCCTTAGTCAGCGTTCTGTTACGGTGAAGAACCACCACGACATGTCGACTGTTATAAAGAAAAGCATTTAAGCGGGGCTGACTTACAATTCCAGAGGCTTAGTCCATTAATAGCATGGCAAAAGTGTGATAGCATGCAGGCAGACATGGTGCTGGAGAAGGAGCTGAGAGGTTTTTGGGTTTTTTTCCATTTTTTATTTCTTTATTTCATTTTACATTCCAGCCAGTTCTCCCTCCCACCCCCTTACCTCCTCCACCTTCACTCACCCCCCCCCCCAGCCCACCCTCAGTCCACTCCTCCATACCAGTAAGGGCTCCCACGAGGAGTCAACATAGTGTGGCAGAATAGGTTGGGGCAGGGCCAGGCCCCTCGCCCATGCATTAAGACTGAGCCTGGCATCCCACCATAGGGAAAAAATTGCTGCTGTAACACGAACCTGACATTTGTCAAAAGAACTTTATCTTCATGACTGCATGCCATTGAGGTAGTGCTAAGTATCTTAGATAAATTCAGAAGTGTTTAAAAATCTGATAGTAATAATTAATTCTTTAAATAAATGCATTCTTGATTCTACCAAATACTGTTTTTACAGGATGAAATGTTGTTTCCTGTTTTTTATTTAGCGATTTTAAAAGTCACTTGTTTTCTAATATTCTGAAAAAATGATCAATACAAAATTTAAAGCTAGAATTGATTGTCTTTTGAAAATTTGTATGCTTTTACTTTTATATTGGACATATCCTTTGGTCTAGAGTAATAAACAAAATCTTTAAATGTGTTTTGCAGGTTATCTCACATAGTAAAGATAGGTGATCCTACATAGTAACGACAGGTGGTCCCATATAGTATGTACAAGTGATCTAACATAGTAAGTACAGGTGTTCCCACATAGTAATGACTTTTTAAATTCTGAAAACACCCCATTTTACATTTTGGTTGGTAGAGGAGTTTTATGACATTTTTTTCACGAAACACATTTTATAAATGGAGTCCAGGGATAGTCCTACTGAAACCAACCACTCCGTAGATAGAGACAAACCTGATAGCAACTGTCTTCAGCCTAAGGAAGGCATATAGAATGCTTGTGTGCTACCTGTGTTCCCCAATCAGTAGAAACATCATAGTCCAACTGCTGTAATTATTCTCCTCAGCCCACTTTCTGTTCATGGTCACTGTCTCTTGGTCTTGGACTAGTTAGGTATTTCTTGTTATTTTATCAATTGTTTTTGTGATGTTATCACAAAGTATAAGCTTATTAACTGTCATCTTCATCAGGATTTAGAATAACTTGTCGAAGACTGAAAATTCCTATAAAAGCAGCTTATTGCTCACACTATTGTGTATAGATCACTTATACTATTAATAGCTCAATTATTCTCTGTCCTGTTTCATCTACAGCTTACATTTTATTATATATACATATATAATTTACTATGTTATATGTACTGATGGAGGCATATATAACTTGAGTTCATATTTTTTTCTAAAGCTAACTTTCCTTTCTTCTGTCCCAGAATCCTGATATCATATCTGTAGGAGAGTCAAATCGCAGGAAATTGTTGTTTACTTAAGTTTTTCTATTATTTTATGTTTTAAATGAACACACACAATTTGCTACACGATGTTGTTTAAAGAGGTTAATATACCGCACGCTACAGGATAGTTGATACTTCCAACTAGCAATACTATTCCTTGTAGTATAAGTGCTTTCTCCCATGT